TTGCCCCGCCGGTCCAGGCTAGGCCCAGGCAGCAGGTCGGACGACGGGCCACAGGTTAATTTTTTTTAAATGACTGTACCGACCCGTGAACCGCCGGGTCGGTGAACCGGCACATATAAATGGGCGGGCCGGTCACGGGCCATCAGATTGGGGCCCTCCTGGTCGCAGCCCGGCAATTGGCTACAATCACAATCCGTCTAATTACAATCACAATCGTGGTGACAAAATAATGATGCCCAACATAAAATGAACTTGATTGGTAAATGTCCTCAATGTTAATAACACTACTATTAATGGAGTGAACTTGCAAAGAAAACCAAAAGAATAAACAAGTGGGTGATTTTGACTACTTATGTTCCCTTCCCTAGTGATGTGGTGGGGACCAAAGGATCTCTATCATTATATGGTCCAAAGACTCATATCAAAGCTCCAAAACACGTGACATATGTCGCGTTCAAAAAGAAAATCGAGAATCCTCAAATACTATTGCCATTCATCAAGAGATCTGTGGCTTCCAAAAGAATCACATTCAGCCATATTATTGATGCCAAAATCTGACATTTTTTCAATTTGATGCTTCCTGGCAGTAATCCAGACAAATGTCTACCTAATCGGAGTAATTAAAACCGGACGAACCGGCTTAGAAGAAGTGTTTACTTCAGCTATCTGTACAGGTCAAATTTACAGTGCAGGCTAAACTAATGAAGTTAAACAAAGAACAAGTACCCTTTGTCAGGACTGGTTCTTTACAATTCTAACAGAGCTGTAATAACGCCTGAGGTCCTTTATGGCCTTCTCCTCAATCTGGATCGATCGTATGGAAGAGGGAGTATCAGCTTCCGGCTTGAACCAGCGGTTCATGCCAGCCGGCTCGGATGGTGAACCCTGACCAGTCGCAACAGAGAATCCGGTGGTGCTAGACTTTGGGCTATGAGAAATTCTTTGGTGTTGTTTCCCCTAGAAAGAGTCACATTAACAGATGATACGAAAAAAGAAACTTAAAAAGAAGAACAAAATCGAACTTTCAATACCAAACAGAGTAACAGGTAAACAATAGCAAGACTTTGAAACGTCTTCAGGAATCGTATTAAACACAACAGACATTATGGGTGTGCTTGTTTATCAAATGTTCCCGTTCAAAGTGAGTTTTATTTTTTTTTTTTTTTTTTGTTAACCAGAGTTAATTTTCAAAAATGCGGTATGGTTCGTAGTTAGTTGGATTTTTTTAAGAATGTATTAAAATAATATTTAAAATAAAATGATTAAAACTGATTTGATACAAAAGTAGGAGATAAATGATATGAAAATGATAGGTAGTTAAAATTATGTGAGTGAATTAAAGTTGATGTGATGTGTAAGAATAATTGGTTTTTATTATTTAATTATATGAAAATATTGAGGATAGTGGGGTTGAGTTAAAGTTGAGTTAGATTTTGAATATGAATTAAAATGTGAGTAAATTAATTTGTAAAAAATTTCAATTGGAGACAAATGGCAATTGAGACATTTTTATGCGAAATTTTCAAATTCTCGCGATTAGTAATTTGCAAACGAGCTCTCCATCAGTTTTGTGTAGGGAATTATTCACAAGTTGCGCCTGAACTGAGACCCAAAAGTTGTGTTTAAGTTCTCCATTGTGCACACATGTGAAACTGAAAAATAGATACACGAACAACGAGAATGCAACATACCTGCTGCAACTGGATATCCCTGAGTGAGGGGCGGGAAAGGGAAGGCGGGGTGCTGGAGGCCGCCCAAGGAGGCGTGTTCTTATCTCCATCTGACACCTGTCCTTTTCGAGGGGGCACCATAGCTATAGGGGATGAAGGCAAAAACGAACTCAATGGGAGTTTCCCACCAACAGTGCCACCTATAGAAGAAGAATCGACAAGATCATTCTTTCTCGTGAGCTTGGCCTCCGTTCTGCTCTGTTCCACCAGTATATCACGGAGTGACGCCGGCCCATGCGATATCTTAGCGCCGCCCCAGGCGGGACCCTCACTTTTGGCTATCACGGGAGGTGAAGCAACAATTTTAGGCTTGTCATCAAGGGCCCCACTAAGGAACATGGAGAGACCTCCCTTTCTATTCTTTTTCTTGGATGCTGTAGGTGGGGGGGTAGTCTTGTTTTGGGGAGTGCCTTCAGCCGTCTTCTTACTGGGAAATGGAGAAATCCCAGTTTCTTGGATTGGGATGGCACTTCCAATATGTGCAACTTTCTCCTGAAAAAAAATATGAATAAAGAAAAAATAAATTATAAATGGCAATGTCAGTTATACTAAAACATATTTTCTTGGCTTTGATTATTGCAATTAGCAACATCTCAACCAACCCTCACTGCATTATCTTATATATATGGAGGATATCCTCAACATTCCTAAATTGGATACTCGAGCTGTAACAATGACACCAAGGAAAAGTCAACAGAAGAAAGTTTATAAAACCATACACATAAGGTGCAGATTTTATAACATTTTACTTCCCATCTGAAAATAAAGAGAGAGAGAGAGAGGGTCACCTTATGAAAGGTATCATCTAGAACTTCAGCATCTGGAAAACCCTTCACCATACCCATCTCAGCACCAATGGCAAAATCACTAGATTCCTCCTCCTTAGCCTTCTGTTTGCACTTTCTTCTTTGCTTCTTACTTCCTGCTCTCTTGCTTCCCCTCTGGTCCGCAGATGAAGCTTCCAACTGAACAGTCTCAATTGGTGCTCCAAGCTCCGCAAGAGAACTCTCCAGAACCGGCCTCGACTGTAGCTTTGCAATCTGCTGGTCATCGAGAATATGACCCTTGGATCGTTTTTCCTCCAGCAGCTCTATCTGTTGAAGCTTTTTCCTCAGGGCCCTTATTTGTTTGTCCACGCCTTCTATTACAGCATCATTTGTCTGAAGAAAGCCGTCCAGCCTCTGGTGGGCCCAGTGGTTCATGTGGGCCGATCTCTTTCTGGCATCACCGCGCATCCTGAGTAGATCACTTTCACAATCCTCTTCCTCGCTGTTGATAGCAGCAGGAAAAGTGGCGGTAGGTGTCGGGAGCCGTCTGTAACTCCATGGTTCGGATGACTTCAGGTCCAACAGTTTCTCGAGTTCGGCTAGAATATCGAGAGAGGTGTCAATAAAGGTGTGTGGGGCCACCGAAAGTATGTAGTCTAGGTTGCGGATTGCAATCTCCTGTGGTGAGTTTTGAGATCATTTAGTGGACAGGTGGTGTAAAAAATTAGGACACACAGGAAGGGGGCAGAGGTGGAGAGAGAGAGGACAGACAAAGAGAGGGCAGCAAATGAAACAAGATTGTGAAAGGATTTCTCATGCACTAAAGAGAAAGTAAAATATGAAATTAAATGACTAAAATTTATTTATCTAGTCGACAAATAATGAAAAGTGAAATAACAGTGGTGGAAAAGCGTACCACGCAATGTCTCTTGAGATCATCTGCTGCCAGTGTATCTGCAATTTCTAGCAGCTGTATGGCATTTCGTGGCTCAACCAAATGCTCAGCAGCTGTTTTCTCACAAAGACTTTTCAAGCTCGGTGCACTACTTTTATCGAAGAAGTTTCTAGAACCCGACACTTCTGGATTTCGCATGTCATCCTTCATCGTATTAAATACGGCATCCTCGTACTCCACGTCATCAAACATAAAACCTTCACCCAGTTCATCTAATTCATCCATAATAGCCGGCTTCTGACATCCGTCAGGAGAACTAGGAAGATAGCTGGGATGATAGAGCGAGCTAATAAACAATAAATGAGTCTCGCCAACGGATACGGATGTTGCTTTTTTCACTCCATGTAATCTTATTGGGTTGGGTGGTTCATCTTTTCCCTTTTTACCGTCCCACGTGTAAATATCGCCAGTCATAGTGACTGCAGCAATCCAGTACTTTCCAGCAGAAATGCTAACTATACCTCTTCCACAGAGCATGTATAGCTACAAAAAAAGAATGAAATTTCCACGTTAATGCAAAAGATTGAACAGAAAGTGTTTTTTCTTAATTGATAAAAAAAAAAAAAAAAAAAAAAAAAAAAAAAAAAAAAAACTTGAAGGACCATCACAAAAACTACCGTAGGGGTTAGGCCAAAATACAGTTAATGTTGAAAATTACAACACCTACCCGTCCAGGTTAGATTCGTTGTAAATTTTGCACTCACAATTAAGTGAGCAAACAGAAATTGCTAGTGATATTAAATATTTTCAACAATTATGTCCCTTAACTTCAATGAGCTACAACTATCCCCAACTTCCATCTTACAATTTACATTTGCATCCTCAATTTTTAAAAACTTTCAAACTACAAAACAAAAAAATCGGTAAGATTTTTCTTATTTAGAAAATTAAGAAGTATATCTGAGAAAATACATCACGATATCAGCACATGTTGGTCAGGTCAACCAATGGTTGAAACAAATCGTACACAGGAATCAACTTCAGGGTGGATTTGTCAGAGGTGGCCTTGTTTTCTGGCAAGTACCCTTACAGAAGTTTCCACAAGTAATTATGACAATAAGCAAAATTTACGATGTAAAATACCTGGTGACACCGAAGATCCGGATCTGAAGACACCCAATAAAACACCGCACCATCTTCTGTAAGAGCCAAACTGTGAGTCATCCCAGCAGCTATAGCGACCACATTGAGGCGTTCCTTACGGTGGAACTTCAGCGTAGTATTCCCAGCCTTTTTAGTATTTCGAGCAACGACCACGCGTCTAGGAGTAACAAGCCGATGACCCCACGTGAACACCTGCCAGACAACACATAGATTAGGGCAAAAGCTTGTATCAGGTCACCAAACGGAATACTTACCATCAGATGTGACCCAAAATTCAGTTTTTTTTTTTCAGTTTTTTCATCTTTTTAATTTTTTAGGATTGTAGCTTTATAATTTTTTTATTTTTTATTTTTTTTGAACTTTTTTGGGTTTTATTACTCTTTCAGGTCTTCCAGTTTTTTTGTTTTCTTTTTTTTTTTTTTTTTTTTTTTTTTT